CTGGTTTCTGGAAGTTCAGGCTCTTCCGGTGTTGAGGCAGGTGCGGTCTGCATGCCGAGAACGTCTTCAGCGCCCTTGCTATGTAGAATGCGAGTGTGTTCGTCAAGAGGAGTCTGAATCTCCTCTTCGTCCTCGGCATTCGCTTCAACTTCGTCACTGCTGGTCATGGCAGCCATGTCAACGGGCTGTGAGATGCCGATCGAAGAAGAGTGTAGATTGATGTCAGAAGCGAGAACACCGATGATCTGACCGGTGAGGTTATCAACAGCAATAAGACTGTTTCTATATTCGGAGATGGCTGTAGTACGAGGAGCGTTGTGCATAATCACTTCTGGGCCGTCTCCGATGGTGACAGAAGACGATGCATGGCGAAGGTGTCTTGAGCGTACTGTGAGTTGTGATGTTGTTGGAGTTGCGCCATAATCGACATAGGTTTTAAGTGCTGGGTCGGCACTTTGGTCTTGTGACGAAGTGAGCGTATCCTGCAAAGCATCCGAGGCGTCCATGTCTGCAGAAGTTGCTTTCGTGGAGATGCAGCTCTCACCACGGAGATGCTCTGGCTCGACAGGGACCTGCGGGATGGCGTGCAGGGGTCTTGCAACTGAAAAAGCCGCAGGGGAGGTAGACTGGATAGCGACAAAGGCATCAGTGGGCAGTTGCCCTTTGAGAATGGTAGGTGTCAGAGCGGATGCTGACGGAAGGGCAACAAAGGTGTCCCTCCATGGATAGCCGCTGCCTTCCTCCAGCCAAGGCGGCAGTGGCGGGACAGGAGCAGGGTATGACTGCAAGAGGTTCTGCACGTGAAGAACGATGGGAGCGGGGGTACTGATGAGCCACACGGTCCAGATAGCGCGTCGACCAACACCATCCTTCTCCCATCTGTATCTGTCGAAGGCGCCTTCTTCTCCAACATCTTCAAAGAACCAGAAACTGCCGCCGTCCAAGCCTTTCAAGCCAGCGCCCAGACCCGGGTAGAGGGTGCGATCTGCGGCATCAAAGCCCTTGATCTGAGACTGGGAGATAAGCTGTCCAGAGACAGGATCCTGTTGGAAAGAGCGGAATGGAAGAACGAATCGACGTGCGGCTCCTTGCAGCTTTGCGTCTTGGATTCCGACAGATAATACGAGTGTTGCAATGGTCGGATCAAGCGGGTCGGGAACCATGAGGACGGACAATGGGCCATAGACATCGGTGAGGACAACGTCTGTGTTCGAGATGCGCCCAGCACCCAAAGAATCTGTTGGCACATGCCCGTTGAGTCGTATTGGAGGTTGCAGAGGTGGAATGGTCTTGATCAGCCTGGCCGCGGGATGATTGAAGACGGTCAGAGTTGGAAGTGACCGGTGCTGTCCTCCCGGACGAGAGCGTGTCGTCGAAGATGCCATGGTGGTATCGCCTCTCGCTACGTGAAGATGTTGGCTCTTTGCTGATCTCAAGTATGATTTAACCGACCCTTGTATTGGGTGTGCGTATGAAGGTAGGTATCGAGGTTATTCCTATGTTGGCTGACTGTCCGAATGAGAGAGTTTGATGGAGGTAATCTCGAGGCAGCTGCTAATGACGGATCATCTTGTTCGAAATCCTTGAAAGATCTGATCGAGCTCGACCAAGCGTCAGCGTGTTGGCCAGGGGTCTGTCGTTGATGGTGGGAGGTAGTCGAGGAGGAGAAGGAAGCGTGATACCCCTGAGTGAATGAATGGCTTGAAGCGAATGGTCTGCAGCAGGATCCAGTTTTGTATTGCCAGTCTCTTCAGCTGTATTACACCAACAGGGGCAGTCAATACAAACTCGAGCTGCCCCTCTCCACTTGGACCCTGTCTGCATACGCGCGCGCCTTTTCGAGTCTCAGTGTTGTAGCTGTTTTGTTTTTGTTTTTGGAGAATATGTTGCTGGTAGTGATCTCACATCTTTATCAAAAAGAAGTCTGGAATCGATGGTGCGAGAAGGTTGTGGAAAATGTCACACAACGCTGTGTACACAGAATCATTAGCTGCAACCAACATAGGCAGCTATGTACCTTGCGCGCTTTTCGACAAAGAGCTCCCTTCGATCCCGGAGCGTCCATGTTCGGCGTCGATCGAGCATCCTGCTGTTTGGTACGTACCTGCTTTCTTTCGCAAGAGTGAGCAAGGTTGTCGTATTCAGGGTCCAAACGCAGCTGAGAGAAGCTGCTCCGGGGCAACATACGAAATATGCAGCGCAACACAAAGGTTGGCTTCGGTTATCAATTTGGCTGACTCCACGGAATCAAACATGTGTGGAAGCTTTTCGATGCGGGTCGAAGCCAAGACACAAGTCTGCTTCGGTATCTCACCTTGCCCACACCTTGCTCTTGATCAACTCGTTAGACTCACTCCACACTTCTCTTTTCAACCATCATCACATCTCAACACTTCCCCTCCTATCATCGGTACTCTGTGAACTATCAAGATGGAGAACACCACCTCCTCTTCATACCACTGCGATCGCCTCCAGTCGAACAACGATGAGAGCCAGCTGAACGACGCTGCTTCCGAGCCGTCTGCTTCCATGACGCAGCCGACAGCAGTGAATACGACATCAAACTCATCCTATACCGACGCTTCCTCTTCGACGTCTGAAGGATCTTCGACCTCTGATGCAGTAACCAACGCAGCCCCAAGCTTCTCGACTGCTCAGCAGACACCTTCCGCACTACCACAGATCCAGGCAGCTCCCGCAACAACGCTATGGGACAACTTCACCGCCAGCTTCCGTAATGTGATCCAACGTGATCCCGCGTCATCCGCACAGAATGCTCAGTCATCCAGCTCCATAGACCCCGCCGGGCCTGCATCTCAATCAGGTACACAAGCTTCCCCTTCAGCAGCGAACACTCAGTCTGATCCTTCCACCGCTGCATCGAATTTTGCCTCAGACTCAGCCGAATCAGCACGAACGCAAGCCATGTCCGGTCAGTCCTCTGACTCTGCTCCAGATGCTAGCGGAGCGCCTGTATACTTCCGTCTGCCCTTCAGCGGACCCGATGGCAACCCTGCACTCCTCGCCTTCCATCCACAGCCACTGTCTCAGCAAGACGTGCAGCCAGGAGCACCCCCTTCGACCGCTGCTCCTACCACATTTTCTCAAGGTACCAACTCGCAGCCATCTTCACAGTCTCAACAGGGCACTACTCAGTCTCATACTTACCCCACTGGTCTGCCAGGTGCCGCTCCTAATACCACTCAAGACCAGGCTCGACCACGCTCGCATCCCCATCCTGATGGCCATGTCCCCGTCTCACCCATTTTCGTACCTTTTGGAGCGTCCCCACTCCCATTCTCTTTCCTCTATGATCAGCATACCGATCTCGCATGGCCAATAGCACAACTCACCCCGGGCAGTCCTCCAGGCGGACCTTCTCCAGAAGCTCCAGAGTCGCAGCAGCCACGTCTTGTTGCTGGTCCACCCTTCCGCATCCTTCTCGACATCCACTTTGCTGCCCCTCCCGAGCCCGAACAGCCCCATCCTGAAAAGGCTGCCAAGTACGTCAAGCAGCTCGAGCGTGCCGATGCTGAGTTGCGAGCTCGTATGGCCAGGCTAGGTATGGGCAGCATCGGTGGGTTTGCAGACACCGCAGCTAGCGACGATCAGGATGCCTTGATCGGATGCGGTGTCTGTCTCGACAACTACGAGGCTGAGGACCGACCAGAGTGGATTGACGGTCCCAAGAGTCAGGATGAGGCCGTCGTAGCTGTGCCTTGCCCTGGCCATCACACTTTACACGCTGGATGTCTTCGCGAGTGGCTCCAGAAGCTACCTCCTTCTCAGTGGACATGCCCTTTCTGTCGAGCGATCCTTAGTCCCGATTCATCTCACCGTCCGGCGCAGACTTTCTCCAGTACAAGTGCTAGCACCACTTCTTCTCGCACATCTCCCAAGGCAGAACTATCCGTTTCTGCTCCTGTACGCTCTACTCTTCGAGACGACGTTCGAGCACGCGAGCGCCAGCGCGGTTGGAGATGCGATGCCCCCGCCTGCTTGCCACGCTACCCCGTTTCATCCCGTAGTGAAGACGGTCATCTTGAACTTCCTGAGACCACCGACAGAATGACGACCGACCTCGTAAAGCTTACTCCATGTCGACATGAGGTTCATCTTGATTGTCTCTGCACTAGCATGCGTGTTGAGAACGACCTCCGTAGCGCCGACGATCTCGACGCCATCATGGGCCTCTCGGACGATGCCGCTGACGGCGAATCCAGCCAGCACGCCGCAGGAATCGCCAAATCTTTTCTCGAGGATGGGGATGAGCGTGACACCTTAGGCAAGTGGGTCACCTGCCCGGCCTGTCGCAAGGAGTGCTGGGCCGAACTGCCGCTCCGACGCAAACCTCAGCGTCCTGTTGCCGACTCCTCTGCGCAGCAGACCTCCCCAGCTGCGCCTAAAGCGGACCGAAATACCTGTGCCGTCAGCGACGAGTTCGCTTCGCCTCTGGAGATGCCAGAGGTGGACTCCGGAAACAAAGCTCCGCAACTGGCTGGGCCAGTCCATGGCGACCAGACCTGGGAACAAGGTAGCAGAGACGCGGCTTTTGCCTCGGGAGATCACGAGGAGGGGGCAGTCGTTGACGCTATGCTCCTTTCGAGCTGATCGAACCAACTTCAGTCCATGACTCGTATGCTCACACCAGCAGCGCGGTCCAGCACACTCTTCTATGTGGCCTTCTTTCGAAACAACATCGAAGCAAGCATCTATCTGTCCGAATCATCTCTACCTACCTTTTGCATGCTTCCACAATCAACAAGTCGCAGCTGTCTCTGCATATGTGTCCTATCCAACTGTTCTCTGTGCGCAATGAACTCAACGTCGTCATCATGTGCGTTTCGGGTACTGCAGGACAGTGTACTTGAGCTTGTGGCCGATGTCTTCTAGCTAAAGAGGAATCGTATCACAGAGACAATTGAAAACGTTAGATAAGTGAAGCAGACCTTATTTAACTGCGTATATGTACACTAATAATTTCACTATAAAACAGTGAAGGGCCAATCGTATAGTGGCTTATTATGCTGTCTTAGGGTTATATGGTTGCTGTGTAACAGTTACGATTCTAAGTTGACAGAGGTCCCCGGTTCGATTCCGGGTTGGCCCCATATTTTTTGTTTTGATCTATGTTTTTGGAACCTCTTGTTAGAACCTTCTCTGTCGGCAAATCCAATTCAGGGCTCAACTTGTGTCAGTCTGCAGTCGTGAGTCCATGGCAGCCCTCCACATCAATGCCAAAGTGGACCGACACCGCCATTATCACACGCACCATCCATCCATTTGAACTTCTGTCTCATATCCTTTCCTTGTCAAGTAGCTCGCAGCGGCTGACGAGCAATCCCGACGATCACAGTCGTCCTCAAGGGCCAAGTGAAAGACTGAATGTTCAAACCAACTTCCGTCTCACACCTCGCCAGAGGGCATTTCAGCATGTCCACATCGCCTTCACCGAAGAGGACAGAAGAGGCCCAGTATTCGACATTCTCGACACAACCGTCACATATCTCCCTCCACCATGCCGAACCCCATGATGACGATGATGACCAGCAACCTGCTTCATCTTCCTCGGCAAGCCAACTCGACACCACACCGAACCACGGTCAGCCTGCTCAGAGCTCAAAAGCCAACTCATATCGCTCCCGATCGCAACACATACATGCCGACGATCCGGAAGAAGCGGACAGCGACGCAGCCTCCGAATTTGATGCTTTTATGCGCCAAGGCCGGATCGATGTAGGCCAAGCGTGGGACGACAGCAGCGACGAAGACGACAACGGCCATCCTCTGCATCAAGATCGCACACTGCCACTGTCAGCGACTGGAAGCAGTGCCGCACGGAGAGGCAGAAGAAGAGCAAGGAAAGGCCGTCCAGACTCGGTGCTGCAGGCCTTGCGACCGTCACGCGAGCATCGAAAAGCATGGTGGAAGTTTCTCACCAATCCTAGCACCCCTGCTAGTCTTTCAGCTCCCCACGTATCAGCAAACCTGTTCTCAGCCAGCTTGCATCCCGCTGTGCTACTTTCAATGCCCCACTACTTTGCACGCACTGGTGTATTGCTCGGAACTATCGGTCTGGTTGGTGTGGCTAGCTTAGGAGGAGTCGGTGGAGGTCTCTGGGTTGTGCTCAGTCGCTACGTCAATGGCAGCTCAATCGAAGCGATTGTAGGTGCTAGCTTTGGCAGGTATACACCCTGGAAAGGAGGTCTCGGTAGAGTCGTATCGGGACTGCTGCTCGCCCTCTATGCAACGGGAAGCGCCATCATCGGCTACTTTGCCCTCGCAGATCTTCTCCTACAGGTGTTCTTCAACTACGCTCCTCGTGGCGTACCTCTGCATGACCGCGCCTTTGTAACGCTAGTCGTCGGCGGTGTCATCTCGGTGCCGCTTGTCATCTTTCCGCTCTCCAAGCGTAACGTCATCCGCCTCAACACATTCTTCTCTCTAACGTTCTACCCCATCATCATTACCATCACTCTCGTCAAGATCTACGCCAGAACCCCGCCAGTAGGAGCCGCCTCACTATCACACACGACACAGGCATTCTACTCCGAGACAGCCAACTATGGTCGTAGTGATCGATGGCCGAGTGTCAACCCTTTGCATCCACCCTCGATCTGGGCGCCTATCTCACTTCTGCCATTGATGACGCTCAGTGCATGCCCTTTGCAGATCCTGGCACATCAACGTAGCCTGCGTCGGATTGGCACCTCCCGCTCCAATGTCAAAGCTTTCCTTGGCGCACAAGCTGGACAGGTCATCTTCATCATCACCATGGGCATCCTCTTTGGCGTTGTGGCAGGTGTCAATGGTGTTCAAGGCCGACTGCGGAAGGAGGTTCACCCAAATCTGTTTGCATCGCTTCCGAACGACGATCACTGGATCAATGTGGCGCGCATCCTGTTTGTGGCAATCCTGGCCACCCATTTAGCCATCTGCTTGACGACCGCCCGTTCATCGTGGGGTCGATTGCTACGCCTGCTCAACTTGAACCCGCTTCGCAAGCGCCGACCGCCCATCCGGCTTCCTGACGATGAGCCAACAGCAACCCCTTCGCTTGTCGCAGGAACGAGCGCCGAGATTGCAGCTTCCAATGCTGAAACCGGACACCACGCGGCACAAGATGGTTCTCAAATAGGCAAGTGGAAGCGCAGGTGGGGCAAGCCCGCACGCAATGCATTGGCGGGTCTCTTGCTATGGGGCATCACCGCTTCGAGCGCCTATCTGTCTGGAGCAGGCGGGTTTCGAAGGAGCGAAAAGGAAGGCGAGGAAGCTAGGTTCACGCGAGCGTCCGAGGTGCTGGGTCTCATCGGTGCCGGTGTCGGCTTTGTGATGCCCGGCCTTGTGTGGATGATTCTGTTCCACATCCGACGTCCGCGTGCAATACTACCGCCATTCGCAAGCGAGATCGGCAAGACAGCGTCCGCCTACTTTTCCGGACCGCTCTCGATGCTGGCACGCAACCGTAAGTACCTGTTTGGCTCGAGGGGAGCTTCGGGCCAAGGAGTGGTGGCTGAGAGGCAGCCATTGTTGGGTGATCAAGGAGAAGTCGACGAAGAGGATGAACAAGGTGAAGGGACGACGTCATCGCAACTCAGCCCGCGTGTCAGCGCAGCAAACGAACTTCCAGGATTGCACTCGCACCGTTCGAGCCGACACAGTGCTTCCATGACGCTGGATCGAGGCTCACCGTCGATTCCAAGTCATTTGACCGAACAGACCAACGACGATAGGGACGAAGCGACCACCATCCTTCTGGCACGTAAGGAACGTCAGCTTCAACGCAGAACACGTGAAAAGCGCATCTACCAGGATGTCGTCGTTTTCGCAGCTGTCGTGCCTTTCGGCTTTGCATTGCTCATCCTCGGAGCTATCGAGCTACACCGTGGCGGCTACTGAAAGCTGTGCTCTGCTTCGAGCTGGATTCTGTGCTTTGCTGCGGTCGACTGATCAAGAAGGTCTGCCATCTTTCATTGTCGCCGTCACATTGCCTAGACAGGTCATGTATCAGCCTTGGTGGGATCGCGTATTGGACAAGGGTGTTCTCTTCGGAATCCGACGTCTGTGTTCCTGACAATAACGCCATTTTTTTCTTTTCTTTTTCTTTTGCCGGCGAAAACTGTGTCGCGCGTGTCAAGGCGTCCATCATCATCCTATGATCAACTCGACCTCTTACATGGCCTTGCGCATGTGCGAATGAACGGGTGTAGAGCACGTAGGATCAAAGGAGCCCGAAGATGCCTAAAGTCCGTCCCCAGCAATCGAGTTTGATGATGGCGTCAGAGTTCCGAGTTAGTTTGCGCCGTCTGCAACCAAACCTTTTCCTACCAAATGAAGGAAGCAATTTTATTCGCGAGGGACCGCACAAATTCCGAGCACATATTGCCATCCCAGTTAGACTCAATCGCACGATAACGAAGACTATTTTGAAGCATAATTGGTTTGCAGGCGAGGACCCTTGAGATCCTCGAAGCTCGTCAAGGAGGCTCCCGGCCCGCCGTATGGGAGCCGGTCGAGCGCAGGAACGAGCGGCAGAGGGATGGGAGTACAGGGAAGGCAAGGAAAAGGGAGTCGACTGCGTCTAGTACGCTCGACTCAAGAACAGGATGATGGAGGGAAGGAAGGAGCAATGATGAGTGGGAAGTCGATGGATGAGTCCAGCTCAGACGCGCACGCCTTCCTTACGATCACGTGATGCACGCCTTCATGATTCCAGACTCAGTGACATGTAACTGTGTGGTGTGCAGAAGTAGAACAGTGATCCTGTCGCAATGACTTGTTTCTGCGTTGTCGAGGAGGATCAAACCCTCTTTGACAGATAGGCGACAGGCTCGAACCTTGATCGCATCATGCAAGCCCACAAGCTTGATTGATACAGAAGCTGATCGCTATAAAGCCTCGAGGCTCTTGCCATGTTCTTCTCTTAGTCAATTGAGTATATATGTTTCTGTCCTAAAGGTGGGTATCAAAGTTTTTGCGTTTTTAAAAACGCGGGTTTTTTGAAAAGCGCGTTTTTGGAGGAAATTTGAACGCCCCTTTAAGGAAAGCGGGTTTCCAAAAACGCGATGAAATCATACGGCCGATAAAAGACGTAACCTAACAGTAAGCATATGAAACATGACGTGGCACCTATCTTCTCCACCTCGGGTATCAGATAGCCAGTGTGCCGATGCCTATCGCGATGATCGGGTCTGACGCATGCCGATACGCGGGACTGGCCTCGACAACTTGCTACGGATCCGAGTGAGGAAAGGCGGCGAAGGTGTGAGATCGAACTAGTGCTCACATATTTTCACTGTTGTGGAGTGAACTCGGTTTTGCTTTTTTGAAAACGCACGAAAAAGGCGCGTTTTCAAAAACGCGGTTTTTTTTTTTCACTTGGCGCAGCTTATGTAAGCTTTTGCGGTTTTTTGAAAAACGCGCTCTTCAAAAATCCTGGGTTTTTAAAAACGCAAAAACTTTGATACCCCCTTAAAGCAGCAGTGACACCGTACTCAGACTCTACCCGATCGCCAGTATCGGGGCCGAAACGCCTTCAGTTTCCATTACACCCTTCTCCGCCTTTCATATCTTGCGTGACAGTCGAGTCCGAACAGCCAACCGAACCGTCAGCGGTTCTTGGAAATCTTACAACCCGGGAACAATCGTCTGTCGGACTCCGTGGGAATGCCATTGCCACCCTGGCTGAACTTTGCGTCGACCCCGTCAATTGCTGCGAACACTCTGTGTGCTCTTCGAGTACGCCTTTGAACGGTCCAAGCCATATAAGACATTCCCGGATGACCTGCTCTCAGAATCGTCCACCCACCCTGTCCAGCAGCTACCAGCATCCTTAATCCCTTTCCGCCCCCTCCCTGGAGCTGACGGACATTACTGCAAAGTCACGCCTCGCAGCTCCCAGACATCCTTCATGTCGCCTGTACAACGCTCGGATTCCAGCAGCACGGAAGGAGCCAATTCTACAGCACACCACACACCAACACACGCTATGAACGACAAAGAGATGGCCGACGAATCTGTCGCTGCCGCGACACCAGCGCGTCAGCCGCCGCAGTTGGGTCAGGAGTCCCTCTGGTCTCCTCGTATCCGCGAGCAGCGAATTGGATACAT